AAAAAAAAGCCGAAGAAAGGGAAATAAAAAAAATTAAAGACGTTTACAAATCTTTTTAATGCGAAATTAGAGCTCACCTCTTGAGGAGGAATAAAAGAGGGTACGGAGAGGAGGGTATGCCCCTCCTCCTCCCCTCTTCCTCTCCTCCCCTCCTCCTCCCATTCAGTTTCTCAGCTAAATTTAGCAGGGAAAAGGACATCACATGACAATCTAGCGGAGAAATGAATTGGCGTTCAAGTCACGTAGCTGGGAATTGAATTGGTGTTGAGGTCATGTGACGTCAATTTCGCGCTAGATTTAGCAGGCCGGTTACGCCGACGGCGACGCCCACGCCGCGAACCCCGGAAACGGGCGCCGAAGAGCTGCGCTCTAAAGAAACAATTAAGGTACGACCAACACCCACACACACACACACACACACACGCACACAAATAGGAGTCTCAAGAAGGGCCGTAAAAATTGTCCGCGAAAGAGAGAGAGAGAGGAGGTGGGTGGTGGTGAAGAAGGGGTATATTCCTTTCCCCTAATACTTTCTTATAACTCTCTGAAATGTTATGGTGGTTCAGGGCTGGGGCGGTACCCCCCGCCCCCTTCCACCCTTATGCCCCTTGCCCCCTCTTTCGACGCAACTGGGGGAAGGGGGGGCTAAATCCCCCCCCCCCTCCCCATCCTCCTGTTTCGACGACCCCGCTTAGAGGTTTTCCAATGAGCAATGACGAGGAACAGCACAGCCTGCAATTTTCGAAATAACAGTTCAATAGATCCTGGAATTAAAACGGCTCGCGTTCCATGAACTCAAGAGTGGTCATGACAGACTTTCAAGCGAAAGACTCGTGCCAGGGCACGTATATAGTGTGCGGGCGCGTTCAGTGACGTCATTTTATAGTTGATACCTTTGACGATGGAGTCAGGATTATCAGTTGTGAACGACAAATTTGACGGTGCGTATTCAAATCGACGATGCCAAGTTTAGTGTCCTTGCGTTCTTGAAGCATCACCGCCAATATTGACAACCTGACATTACTTTTATTTCCTTATTTCCGTTGATAAACATACTTAATCCCAAACTGACTGATCTTCGAATGTCTACCATAAAATGATTTTATCCCGCCGATGACGGGACAACTGCCCGGAGGCGAAATTCACCCGAAAGTGGACAACGGCAGTCGGCTGGTTGTGACCTAGCCACGTCGGGCTACACTTTGGCCAGATTCCAAAGGCCGAGATAAATCAAAAGAACGGCAGGGACGCTTTTTAGTAAATTCTGCTTTATTGGCGGAAATAAGAACGATACCAAACTATCGACTTCGACGGTGTTGATTCTAAAATGCAATTCCCAAGCATCCATCGTGCTTTTTAGAGACCATCAAACATGAGGGTCGCAGCTGATAATCTTTGTCGTGACGTCACACGTATGAGCCACGGTCGTCTCCGCGCGCTCTCTAGTGCTGCTCTTGTTTTGTGCCTAGGGAGGCGTAGGGATTTTTCGTCCCCTCAACGAAAAACGTCACGAAGACAGACGGATCTGCGGGTTTGTGAGAAAAGAAAACTTTGCAGCAATCTTTCGGCTCCTCCCCCCACTATGTCATAACACAAAGAATATTTTTGTTGACGAGTTTAGCGACCCTGGTAAAGTAGCACCATTGCCTTTTATGCCTGCCAGCCGGACACAAAACAGATATTAACTACAGACGACTAAGCTTCGCAAGGTGATTCGTTGATGAATCTCAGTTAACACGGCCATCACCTCTTTGATCCATTTAAATCTTCGAAGTTAAATCTTTGAAGCGTTCTTCGTCAATATAAGGGTGCTTCGCAATGTGCATGGAATCAATCATGAATATCTACACAGATCCCTTGTAATTGTATTGTTGTTCTTGAGTATTTCAAGCCAGGAAAATTATTCTTCAATGACGTTAAGAACCGATATCGCATGTGGTAGCGGTGTGAACATCGGCGCTTTTTTCGCCGGTGTGTTGTTAACTGAAATGTCGGTATCCAAGAAATTTATTTAGTAAGCAATCTGTCTCCGGAAGTTTGGATCGGCTCAACAAGAATGGAGAGGTCAAGGAGAAATGGTTTGTTCCATAAACCAAAATGGCGACCATGCGGGAAGCTTGGCGCAATTTTCCCGGTATATCCAGACACTTTAGTTGGAACCGCTCCTGATATCGCTCTTCTTAAAGCGGTGTAAACCAGCCTTAATTTTAGAGTCTGGTAACGACATGGGACTTTGTTTATGGGTTGCTTAGGAGCCTGAAAAGCGCCTTCCTAATGTACCGCTCGATTAAAAGCTGCGCTTTCTAAAACAATGTTTGTGGCCATGTGCAGTGGTGGGTTGGCTGTGCGCACTTGCGGCTATCTAAGACATTAGCTATCTCATTTTGGAGACTTCCACAGTGCCATGGAACGCAGCAACACACAAATCTCCGACCGGCGTCATGTAGCTTATGCAACTTCGACCAAATTTCACGCAAACACCTGCAACAAATTCACATATGTTTCTAAAGGAAGTAATAGCAAGGTTACTGGTGAGCTCGTGTAACACGTATATTTTAATTCGCGGGTGCGAGGTCCGAGGTTCAACCCTACATGGCGTTCTGCGTTTAAAAATAATAATTTACAGAATATCATTTACGAAGCTAAACAAAACCTTTTATTGAAAGCTCCCCTTAATTAATAATGTAAAGCTTAATTTCGAGCCGGAACGCCACGCCCCGACAATGAGGCCAGCTTCTTTTTCTCTCTCTCTTTCTCTCTCTCTCTCTCTATCTCTTCCTTTTTAAACGTACACATAGTCCATAATAAACGTGCAGAAATCCATCGCTCAAAATGAAAGAGACACATTTTATTTCGGGCATATGGTTCCGAGGTATGCGGTCGCCATAATTCTACACAGTTCCGGTACACATGAAACAAATTATTGCTTTCCGTAAAAACAAAATGTAACTGGAATGACAAATTTTTCGCAGCCCTTCTTTGTGAATTCTTTTTTTCATCGCAGCCAGTTTACCTTTAAGGTTTTTTCCGTCTATTTTCTCCACGCGTCGTCCATTTTTCTACATCGTGCTCGGGCTTAGCGCGGCGTAAAATTTCGAGCAAGGGACTCCAAAGAAAATTACTCGAGCACATTCCTTTGCTCCAGATCGTCCCGAGCCCCTTTACCCTCATCCTCTTTATCTTATTTCACTTTTTTTGTGATGCCCAGGGATACTTCAATAATATTTTTATGCGACATAAAAATTTCCATTTTACTTTTAGCTCAATAAGCTGAGAACAGAATAAAATAAAAATAAAAATTACAATTGCGCTATCAAATTGGTAACCCAAGCTGAAGAAAAGAGTTTCCTCATTTGCTCGGCTCGTCGCGCTGGACTTTTTAACTGTAATAAGAATGGTCGCATAACAGCGTCCTTTAAACCGGCAAGTACTTTTTTTGTTCCTTTTTTTTAATTTCTAGAGTTTGGAGGGATATTCTTGGAAGTCCTTACCGGCGATGTTTGGGGGAGAAATATTTTATCAGTTCGCTAGTTAAAGATTCAAAACATGAAACCCGGGCATAAACAAAAATATCATGTATATCTGCTGCCGATGCTCTCACAAAGAGAAAGAACATCCGCATGCCTGATGAGTTTGTAACTCTGCTTGCACATAATGAATAGCAACTTACCACGTTACTGAATTTTGCTTGATTGTTCAAACGAGAGATCAAACGGCATCCGCGATTATAATCACTGCTGCATTACGGATTCGACGGGATCGTTGTTGTTTTTCGACTGTTATAAAGGATTAATTATTGTCGGGCGAAAGATGACCTGAGCTTAATTCGTTAAAAAGCTTTATTTGAAAACTTTGGAGCCCCCGCCTGAATATTCGCGCCGAGAAGTTTGGGTTTCGCTGCCTGGTGGAATTTTTTCACAACACAGAGTGACGATGCTTCAACTTCCTCTGCTGGTGCAAGCACGTGCAATGCCAAGCTTCGATGCACTATGAAAATGAAAACATAACCACGTGGCAAGCACGTGCACTACCCGGAGTGCAGGAAAACAAAAGCTCCGCTAGCGAGTTTCTCACCACGATTACTCTGTAATACGAACAGCCATGTGTGCTAAAATAAATAACTGACTGATATTTTTCGTTTACTCGAAATCGTTTTGCCTGTTGGAAACTTGAAATAAAATCAATGCTACTGAATTTTATTTTCGAAATAAATTAAAAATATCAATGTTTGATTGAAGTATGTATCGTTTAACGTGAGTGAAACAATGTCGTTTTAAAGGGTCTTAAGAATGAATAGGGTTGTATGGGAGATAAAGACGATTTCTTTTACTATAGTAAAACCAAAATAAACAAGCGCTTTTCTATGGGGAATATTAGAGGTCACTATTGCCGGTTCTCTTGCTATTATAGTCTGCATTACACTAAAGTCACAGGATTCTGGGTAAGTAGAGCCACGCTCCACGTATTGTAGTCATTTTGTTCTATTCAATAAGGAGTTTCTCCTTGGCGGCTTTCGTTCTAGGGGTTGCTGATCCAAATTCCCGGTGAGAGGTTGCTTTATAAATTGTTATCCACACACCGGCGAAACAAGCGCACATCTTCACAACAGCCCACATGGGGCGTCGGTGCCTGGCGACATTGAAAAATATTTGTAAGCGAACCGTCCAGGAACGCTTCCGGTACGACGACGCTTCATAACGATCTTGGGGCGGCTGGTTTAGAAAGACTTTTTCGAAGCTTCGAAAGGACCGAAATGGCGATTGTTGTGGCAACATAGACCTATCAGTCAATCGCCTTACAAGGTTTCGTCGTCTGCATGCGAGTAGCTGTTTGTTTCCGTCTAGCGGGCAGAGCAGGAAATGGAGCGCTTTATACAACTGTATTTCCAACTGTTCTGCCATTTTAGAATCCATAAATTTCTGCTTGCCACCCAACAATTCGTGACAAAATTGATAAATATTAGAAATTTTAGATGCGCTTCTTAACATTTTTTTTTCCAGTGATACCCGACCAGAGGCCAACGATTCACGGCACAAGAGCAAAGTACAACGTCGGAGACCGCGTAGACGTGATTTGCAAGGCTCCATTCTCTCTGCCTGGCGCAAAGCTGGTCTGGCTCGTCAATGACGAAGAGGTAAGTTGCGGAAATATATAACAGAAATGGACAATTACGAGTATATTTGTGTAAACCGTAGGACGGTTCACTAAGTTAGTCAGGACTGGCCTTTGGGCAGACTCAGTGACTTACATTTCAAACATCATAGAACTTGTGTCAAACGCCTCGTAAATAAGCATCTAGTTTGCGAAGTAACTAACGAACGAAAACGTTGCCGCGTGTTTCTTTTATACTTCCTTTATACTTGTTAGGTAAAACGCATAAACTCAACTACAGCTTTAGAATAAATGCACATTACTAGTAGGCAAATGTTCCCATTCAGAAGGTGATATCTATGTGCTCATGAATCAGAACTCCGCGATGAGGACAGTTGCGTGTTTTTGTTACACACGATGGCAAGAAGAAAATAATATATTCAGAGGGATAATAGTTCTATTAAATCTCTATCTACTCTTTGGCTGGTATCATTATTCCTTCCGGCTAATACCATTTAACGCTTTTGGTGAAGGAAGAAAATAGCCATATATTTGATTTTTTTTCTATTAACATGGAGTAAGATATATTGCATAACTAGTTACCCTCTTATGCTCCTATAGTGAAAATTTTAGCACGCCAAATTAAAAAAAAAAGAATTGATAAACTTGGTTTTAATTTATACGGAGAATATTGAGTTTCTTGATTAAATTCGTTGAACCTCGAAGGGGTAATTCTAGACTGAAATCTGACCACAAAAAAGAACGATGGTGTCAAGACATTTTGCTATGGCGGAGGCTGTTCAGTTTTCCCAACTTGGACAATTACCTTTTACATTTTATATATTCGTGGAATGACCATTTTTATTTTGTTTGTTCAATTATGAGCTTTCGTTATTTCTTATAAACACATATTTGCATGAACTACTTATTGCAGTTCGTGCCACGGCCGGACTGCAAGCAAGCGCTCTCTTTCTCTTCTTACGGCCTTTGCAATCGCCCGGGAGTCAATGGCATTTTTTCTCCGTATGTAGTTCACTTGCTTGCCGCCAGGGGCGAAACCACCTCACCCCACTTCACCCCACTCGGGGAGTCGCTTCGAGCTGCTTTGCTCTGGTGTTCGAGCTTCGTAGGTTTTTGTTTTGGCAACGGTTTATTGAACTTCACTCCGATTTAAGTTACTCTACCAGCTCTACCACACATGGACGACTACCGTCCATCTGTGAAGGGAATGACATGCTTGATGGATTGGCTGTCACAGCAGCCCTTGATCACATTGTCAAAGAAAAGGCCCCTTCTAAGCAAATACAGATGTCATATATTGATTCTGACCAGCTAGTAGCGGCTGTGCCCGACTCGGTTACCACTGACCTGAAAAAACTTAAAGAGCCTTGCACTCCATCTCCGTCCGTGACATACTCTGGTCTGGTGTACCGTCGGTGGCTATCTGGTGAAACTCATTAGTGAGTTTGGGTGTGACGCCTGCGTTATGCTGTTGACTGCGAGTAGCAGAGGTGATACTCTGTTTGTCTTATTGCAAGGCCAGAATAAAAGCGGAAATCATTATTCAAATCCTAGGTTCCTCGCACTTCTGGACAAGATTGTTGCTTTTTTTAAAGGATGTTAAGCACCTTCCGCGTACAAATGTGCACGAAGTTCTGCAACTACTCGTTGCACCCTATCTTGAAAACGCGTCAATCCTAAGTTGCCCAGAGGGCATCGACAACAGTCACTCAAACCGCTTGGCTGGTTTAATTTGCAACAAGTTCCTCAGAATACTTCTGATTAACCATGCAAAGATAGTCACGGACAGAAACGAAAAATCAGTTGGATATGTGCACAAGCCCTCAAGGAAGCACTTTAGGCTGTAATATGCACTGTGCGAAAATTGTACAGGCTACTACACCCTCGTCTAGAGCAACTGACCGACTTCATGTGCGGCCATTGAAATGATGATGCAGACCACGGCAATGGATAGATTGCGCCTGCTTACATTTCACGAGAGTGTACGAATTATTTATCATTTAAAGTTCCTCCATGTAGAAGGGGTCCGTCTCCTCCTGTTCTTGAGTTGTAACAGAAGTCCTGGATGTAAAAACCAGTATAGTTTTTCCGCAATTGCATTCGCTGTCTTTACTTACTACTTTTTACTCCCGAATCTCTCGGAGATGTGCGTCAAATATTCACCGTTTTGGGCTCATCAGAAGCGTATTAGATAGTGGCTGAGGGTCTAAACAGAAGGATCAGGTGTCAAAGGCTATAAAAATCTCGGCCGCAAATTGCGACAGCGCTGAGAGACACTGTCAGACGCGCTCTGTGCAAACGGCAAAGGGTAGCCCAGGGGTGAAGTGAACCCCCCCCCCCCCCCCCCCGCCCCGCTAATTGCGGCGGGAGGTGGCGATTGCCCCAATCGCGAAGGCCGTAAGAAGAGAGAAAAAGTGCGCGCTTCCAGCCCGGCCGTGTTCGTGCTTGAACTACTTACTGTAATTCAAGCACGCATTTTGAGCCATACATCAAAGTGGTTGAGTTTAATAAAGCAGGAAGCAGAGGGTACTATTTGATTATACTCCTTTCATTGCTAAGCTGGCCGGGGTTATAAAAGCTAGGTACTTGTCTGACCAATCATACATGGGGATCGGTGACCGGGTGGGCTAGCGCATACCAGCTCGGAGCATCTTGAGCGAAAGCCCGCGCTGCAGAACCCAGGGATCCTTTGTTCAATCCTCACCCCTGCCCGTTTCGATCTGGATGAGCATCGTACCGGCTTGCGGTCGCGTATCACAACTGCGTGATGCAAGTGAAAGACCCTAGGCTAGCGGTTTCTACTGCACTGGCTAAATTTTTCATCTATAGCTGGGAGACAAGTAACCCGTTGAGGCAGACTAAGTTCAGGCTGTATAACATATCCCTCCCCCTCAATCATACATCAACCTTACGCTACATGATCACACTCCTGCCTATACCGAGTGGGTCCATAATTAGAAGTGTCACCATCACCGTATACCGAGTTGTGATTCACATCGCAATTCTTCGTAATTATAGGACGGTTTTACGAAAGTCGGTTTCACTTACGGCATGCAGTCTGCAGACATGCTGGTGAACTGTTTCCGCTGTTTTTTTTTTTCTATTCATTATTTTTAAGCGATTCTTTGATATTTTGGTGTGGACTTGGCAGATCTCAGAAGGCCGACGGCCGCACCGACAAAAGAACTTGAGAAGCATGATCGGGAATGTGTTACTTCTTGCTTCGGTGTTGTTGTTTTTTTTGTTTTTTTTTTTTTTTTTGTCCCGCTGAAGTTTTCGTGGAGCATTCGCCAAGGCCATTTTGGCCGCCGTCAAACCGACTTTTTGAGCCAAATAATGAGAGATATATGTGAAAATCGAGCAGCAGCTTATTTTTTTCTCCATGTCACCGACTGGCGCAGCCAATTAAAACGCAAGCTAGAAAAAAAATTATGAGTGTTCGAGTTGGGTTGTGATGTAACACTTTTTACATGTCTGAATGTTAGAAAAATTAAACTTCATAACACAAACTAGTTATTCGTCAACCAAAACGCACAATGCATGTGTTTGTGTTTAGAGGGCCTAGCTATTTGGCGTAAGTATTTTTGATAAGCTCATGGTTTAACGAGACTCGCTAATTTCGATTCATTTGCGAGAACCCCGAGAAAGGTGCGGCCGTAAAGCTTAACACATATGGCAAGCTTTTTTATAAATTTGAGTTCAAACCGTGCATACCTGTAATTGAGTACGCGACTGTAGTTTTGTAAGAAGTTTTATGTCTATCTTTTTTTTTCTTCTCTTTTCTTGTTTTTGTTTTGTTCAGAGCTTAATTTGGAGATGGTAAAATAATAAAAAAGAGTAGAGCAAAAACGGCGGCCGTGCATCTGGAATGCCCTACTCCAGAGCCTTACCTGGGGAGAGTTTGGATATTCCTTGGGAAGTATAGGAGGAAAATGAGGAGGCGCCATTGGCTGAAAGCGGGGTGGGCGTGTTCCAGGGTGTCTTCAGAAATTCGAATGCGGCCAACCAGAAGCCGAAAATAATACCCTGGCGGTGGTCGCGGTGGTCGCGAGAAGCGAAATTAGTAAGTGCGTCGGAGTGACTCTTGGTGACTGAAAATATAGTGCACATGATGTTTCCGTCACGGTCATCCAAAATCATGGTGGAAAAGCGCGACTAGCGCAACGATCGACATAATACATACGCCAGGCGCCATGGGCCTGGAATCTGCCGTGCAAGCGGTCACACACAGTCCGATCAAAACACTTCAAGTGGCACATTAGTTTCTTATACTTTTTGCATGATCATAATCTAAACATCACGTGCACCATATTTTCAGCCATAATGAGGCACTACATTGAACCCTTATGCCCTTATTAAACTGTTTCTGGCTACCACCGCTAGGGAATTTTTTCGGCTTCTGGTTGGCCAAGAGAGCGTGACAAGCCCTCTATCTACGCCTGGTGAACGCCCTGGTTCTGCCCGCTAATCGCTTTGACCAAACTGTCTCTATACGCGGCTTTGCCCTACACCAGATGATCGTCTTCTGCGCACTGGTTTGTGAGCTTCCTCCCAGGTGGTCATTGTTCGTACATTTGGTTACAAGTATTAATTATCGAGATTATCTCGCTCGTCGCCAGCCTCTGTGATTGGTATTTAGCATATTTGCGTTCAGCAAGCCACCCAGGAGCGAACTCATAAACCATTGACAAACAAACAGGCCGCTATAAAAGATAGAAAACACCCGACCTCAGAGTTTGCTTTATTTTTTAATATTTCACTAGCTCAGTATTGAGCTCTAAAAAATATGTACATAAAAATAATTACGAAACAACGCTCGCGTGCCCAATTTTAGGTACGTACACTTGTAATTCGAATTCTGCAAACGTGTCAAATATGTTGGTCCTTACGGCCGCACCCTGTTAACGTTAGTACCGACTTCGAGCTATCAAAGTACGACTCCAAATGTGAATTCATAAATAGTATGTCTTGGTTAGTACATTTCTCACTCTCGGGTACACCATAAATAAAAGGCAAAAAGCTAAAACAAAATAAACAACGAAGTACTCAACCTCGTTGATTATGTCATATATAATGTATTCCCACTTTTCCGAGAGCTTTTCCATCAGCGGGGGAGGTCATTAAAGCACGCTCTTTTATGGAAATTACAGCTCTCCCCGTCGTGTGACCGATTTTCGCGGGGTTTTATAACCCTCCCGTTTGCCGAACTCAACACCCGGCCAGCGTCGATCCTCACTTTGAAGGTCATCCAGATGATCTTGATATTATGCTAAATTGAAAATACAGATCTCTTCCAGTAACCTTTGAATGTAGATGGCGCTTTTGTTTGCTCTTGTTTATCATCTTAATCCGGCAAAGCGGCAGACTTAGTTGCCTGTGTTTAATTACATTGGTGTTGAACTTGTGGCCCCCCCACAACGCTTCTCCCGGGTTTTTCTCTTTCTTTTTTGCTGGTACTTTTAGTTTTCGGGTAAATCAGTTTAGATTTTTTTTTCTAGTTTGTATATTTTTTAAGCCGTCTTCTTCTTAATTACAATAAACATAATTTTAATGAGGACGCATTCGAAACCACAAAACCATCATCATCATCGGCGCTTTTTGGGTGCGCTTTCCTCGACGATGATACCTGTCCAAGGTTCACCCTCCTCGTGCTGAGCGCATCCGCAAACATAACTGGGCGTCACGTGATGACACAGTTCTCAGCGAACGTCTAAATGTATCGGAAGAGAGCCACATGCTGTCTCATAACTGCGGGAGCGCCTTCATAACTCGTTCGTCGTAGCGGCGAGTGCGGCACCTACATAACTCCCATTGCTCTCATAAACAGGGGAGGCCTTATTACGCAGACCTCCAGTTCCGAAAAGGTGTCCTTGCGTCCGCTCACGCGTTCGTGCATATTCCACGACACGTGATGTCAGGTTGGCATCACGTGGCGCCTTGACTTCACGTCACATGACCACGTCGTGTGACGTCCCCTCACTCGACGCCATGACACGACGCCAAAACGTCGTGGGACGTTTAACGTCTTCTAAGCAAATTTAAATGGCCGCCCCTTAAATACTGTATTCTGTGTATGCGAGAAGAAGGTCGGTGACACCTGTTTTTCCGGCAGGCCATGTTCCACCAGGTGCGCGAGTACGAGTCCCTATTCGACGTGAACGGGCTGCAGAGCACCAGCCTGGGCTTGTCGTTCGAGGTCCGGCCCAAGCACCTGGCCAGCAGCGCGCTCAAGCTCAAGTGCGTCAGCGTCATCTCGGAGGTGTTCCTCATGTCCAGCGAGGAGTTCATCGTCGGGGACACCGTGCCTTCCATCCCCTACCCGGGTCAGTCTGGGAACTATCCTCTCGTATTGTCACGATTTCGGCCCTCGGAAACAAAGACTATCGGAAAACGCGGGACGTTTCAACGGAGGGTTCAAACACATACACAGACAGAAAATAGCATTGAACTCCCAAAATGTATTTTTTTAATTGCCCGAACATGACGTTTATATCACAAACTAAGCTTTTTCCGAAAACAATTGAGCGCAATATATGTTTGCGTCGCGAGATCCATTTGGCCGATTCGGAAACAGGCTTGCTCTGAGGACGGCGTTTCGAAATATGTAGAAACACGTTCCGGAACAGTTCCTGGCTCCAAGTGTGCGTCGTGACCAGGGTTGTAAAGTACCTAGGTACAAGTAACTGGAAATCGGTATCTAGGTACTTTTGTTGTACCTGAGGTACAAACCTAGGTACTTTAATTTCTCGGTATCTGTATTTGTATCTTAGGTACATTTTCCAGTAACTTGTAACTACAGGAAGTTACTTTTCACAGGTACTTTTCTATTCACTTCGTCAAAATGGTAGAAACTATAAATCTTGAAGTATTAACCCACTACCATGTGCCGTGATTAACATTGAGTTGGGTACGGCATTGGAGGCACTGGCTTGATCGAAGGACGTTTTAGCGAACGAAGCCCCGCCTATGATGTTTCATCGAACGACACACTTTAGTGAATGTAGGTGTTCATTTGAGCGAACGGTGAATTAGCGATGCCGTTCTAGCGACACCAATCTATTTAATCGCTTCGGAACTCCGTTTAGAAAAAATAGCGACCTGCTTCCTTCATCTCAAACCAAAATCGACTTCATTGCGTGCTTGAAGCTCCTCTGACTACCATACAAGGGAGGAGATAACTTGAACGACGTGCGCAGTTTCTGTTGCCCGTATCTTGTCCTGGTGGTGGCACTGTTCTGCCATCAATACAATATAACATATAATTACAAATAAATTATAATTACGATCGTAAAGCAATGTAACATTGCATATATAATACAGTTTCCACTCAATAGATCGGACTTAAATTTTGCAGTTATCAAAACTACGAAAGTTCCAAAAAAAAAAAAAAGAACTCCTTTTTCTACTGACTAACGAAAGAAAAAAATAAAATAAGGAAGCTTGAAGCCTTTCGCTCGTCGTCGCGAAGGTTAGGTGCATATGCACTCGACTCATGCGTCTGTTCATGCGGCCGACGTCTTCTGGGCCCGTCGGCTTCAGCACCGGCTCTGAAGGCAAGAACGTCAATAAGCGAGTTTCGGCGGTTTCGGTGTGACATGGTAAACAGTGGAAGCTGTGGCCTCGGTGAACCAATTGGAGCGTGGGGACAAGGCACGTGAGGACTCAACACCGATGTGGACATCGCATTGACACCAAAAACGCACATTTATCGAACTCGTTTTTGAGTGTATGCTTAGTATAAAAAGCTCTACTTCCAATATATTTTTACAAAGTTGGGGAAGATAAATAAAGACAGTATCTTTAAAGTAACTGTACCTGTACCTAGGTACATCTTTAAGCAAGTACCTAGCTGCGTACCTAAGTACTTTTCCGTAGGAGTAACTGTAACTGTATCTTGGGTACATTTTTAAAGTAACTTTTACAACCCTGGTCGTGACGTAGATACTTCGCTGAACTTTTTTTTTTACATTATTGGGTGTTCAGTGTTCATTTAAGGCTTTAACCTACGTACAAAAAAAAAAGGTTTTACACTTGTTTCAGCTACGTGCGTTACTTTTTTATGGAGCTGGGGGGGGGGGGGGGGGGGTGGTCGATTTTGGCGTGTTCCGTTTTTTTTACCAATTTCATGCTCGCTTGTTTTTGTTTTTCTACGATACATTTGTTCTGGATCTTTAACATTTTGGCCGAATTAGGGAAGGCATCAATATTTTCGCTGCAAGAGCAAACCAGGTAGAAAAAACAAATATCACTAGTAGAAAATCGGCTGGAAATATTTGTGCAAAACTAAAGTGAGCCTAAATTGTGAAGTTTATATCTGCGCTCACTGATGAATTTATAAAACAAGAGGGAATGTATTGCTTTTTTTTCGTCTGACTTTTCTGGGAAAGTTGAATTCCTCTCGTCATGAAAACATATAAGTTTTTGTTGCTGGTTTTTTTTGCGAGTTTTATTATTGATGGTTGCTTGCTAATATAATGATTTTAGGTTTGTCACTCAGTTTATAGCGCTCATGAATTTCGCCTTGTTAAAAATATCAATGGGCTAACCAAAATATGCAAAATAACCGATGCATTGTTTCAAATATATACTTTAAGAACGGAATGTATGAATCTGGATTAAAGGGAAGAAAAATACAGTCACTACAGTGACGGTTTTTGACAGGGTGCTGTAAAAAAACGTTAATAGGATCACTTTTGTTCTTTAGTGCAAGAAACAAAAGTAACTATTATTTCGTTATTTGCATGCTATAAACATGTTTTTGGCTAAAAAAACAACTTCTGCTAGTAAGGTTAACAATCAGATAATGTTTTCGTAATGTTGGAATAGAGGATATTTCTTTTTATTTAGCTTGTGATTCCAAACAGAGAGCTCAAAGTTTGAAAGCCTCCAGGCTCAACAAATGACTGGATACTTTGCAGTACCCGTTTGCAGTGTCAAGTGAGGTTTTGATTTTCTATCTGGTAATATAGTGAAAGCCGAGCAGCACAGATAATTGGCCGATTGTGTCAAAGCAAAATACGTAGGTAAAAAAAAACAGGGGTAACGACGAAGTCTTGTTTTTGTCCTTTTTGATGCTTATTATTTTTTTCGTTGTTTATTATTGTTTTTCAAATTTCACTTAATGAGTGGTGCTTTAATGGTGCTAAGTGGTTAGGCATCCGTAGTACCTGAAGCTTTCGCGCCAGGGATTACACCATTATCTGTGGCGGCATAAAAAAAAAAGTCGTATTTTTCGCCCAGAATGTGCGAAGAAACGAAATCAATAGCTATAGCGCGGTCGTGCAAAGCGCGCGGGTGGAATGGTGCCATCACGTACCTGAGGAAGGAGGTGCGACGTGGTTAATTCTCATAGCCGTCGTGGTTGGCTTCGTGGATGCCACTAACGACTGGCGCCAGTAATCCGTGAAGTAAGTGGGTAAGCGCGGGGGAGTCTCTATAACTATCTAACATTACGCGTAGCTGCTTGATACCGCCAGAGTGGGATTTCGCATAAAGCGAGTGTTGTTTGAAAACAAGTTTTTCAAGCACACGGCACCATGGTTCGAGCGCGTATGCCTTCGTTGCGCAATTCTTAGCGAGACGCCAGGGCTGTCCTCTTCGCTTGCCTTCGCTCGCTTCGCGCGGCACGGCGAGCGGAATCCTGACTTCCCGCTCTTCGCAGAAAGAGGGGAGGGAAAACAGAGTTTCCCACTTCTCGCGCGTGCGGCGACGACAAGCGACGAGGACGAAATCTCTCCGAAGTGTCGCCCATAAAGCAATCGCTTGAAAACCGAAACATTATACTTCGTTTCAGCCAAGTCCAGGAACAGCCGATGCTACAAGCGCGAGCTACGGGCTTTCAACGTCCGTGCCAAGCACGCGCGCTCGTGAGCAAGCACTGTTTAGGGCCAAATGCTCGGGCTTGTAGTATCGGCTGTTTGTAAACTAAAGCTGAAACGAAGTATAAATATTATACACCAAAATATTTTAAACAAAAGGTTTTGGGACCCTGCTACAGACAAAATGTAAGTTTGTTTTTTAGTACGATACGATTTGTTTGTACCGGTCTCTTTATTTCACAATTTCAGCAAAGCAGTGATACTTTGATGCGTGGTTGTTCTAGGTATTTTTTGTACTATATTTTAAACGAGTGAAGACTTATTTTTACGGGATAATATTTTTTTTAGATTATACCTGGTTGAACAGGTGCTGAAGTTTGACATATTTTGTTCCAACAGCATTTGTTTCTGCGATTTTGTCCGGCGTTGCTCTGCTATAACACAGATGTTAGAATTTACATTCTCAAAATTAGATATTTATGTTGAAGTTGATTGATAACAATTTTAACGACAAATAAATTCTGTTTAAAACTGCGTTATCGTTAAAGAAAAGATTACCGACAATGTTTTGCTTTGTGAGGCGGCATTTTTGGGAGGTATCAGAAGTGCGAGGTACATGTGGCGAATCCCAGTATGAGAATCTAAAAGTTGTTATCACGCGCCAAAAAATTTGCAACGTAAGCGAGATTAAAAAGTCCATCCAAGCAGCACCCCTCAAATAAGGTATCTCTTTTTCTCCAGAGACCAGTCCGAACAGCCCGACGATCGAAGGAGGGCTGCCGAAGTACCGGATCAACGACCTGGTCAATCTCACCTGCCGGTCTGCAGAGTACGACGAGCCGCCGGAGCTCATGTGGTACATCAACGACAAGGAGGTCAGCGACACCGTATTTCTTCCCCCGTTGCCCATCATAAACGTATCAGCAAACCCCACGTTTTAATTAAACAATAACAAAAATAACGACCTTTTATATATATATATATTGCGCAGCCGAAGAATTGTGAAATGTAGCCCAAGTGACGCACGTAAACGGTAACTTCACTACAGGACCTCATGTTTTCAACTTCTTTTAAAAACTTCATGCTTTGGCAGCTATAACCGCTAGAAATTTTTTGTACGGTTAGATACAAACTGCTGTGCCCCTTTAACATATTTTTGCCTTGGTTACCGATTGCGGCCAAATCTCTATAGTAGTTAGCCAGAGCACAAAGGTATAAGATAGTTCAGAGAGCTGTTTCTACGTAACCGCATCTCAAGTAGCTAACCTGAGTTTCATTGGTTGTCACTGTACCTTCCCGTGATATTAAGTAATGCGTGGCTCTCTGGAGAGCAGCAGGGTATAACTGCGGCAAGGTCTTCAGATATAAGAGCTTGGCCGCAGTGTTATGTGCCGCTCGCTCTCTCCGTAAACGCGGTACAAAGAACGCTACCTAGAGATGGTACTGTTTCCCTGCAGAACTCCGGATATATCAACATATGATAGTCTGCCGACAATAATAGGGCTTGGAAGAAGCGAATGTTTGCACGCGAGCTGCTAAAAAAAATAATATTTCTTTTTTTCTTTTTTCGGTGTTTATAATACTGTAATGTATAAAAGGGCTTCGGACATGGAAAAGAGGAATGGGATAATGCGCTTTTCCGTACACTAAAATGTTTACTTGTTACCTATGTTTAATAATGCCTCTCGAGGCAAATAAAAAAACGATCTACTAAAAAAATGAGCAAGTGACCTGGATATACTTAGGTTCAGTGATTTAGCGAAATGTCGGCTGCCATTTGAAACTTGCAGAACGTTCAATGCCACAATTAGTATTACTTACACATCACGAATCTAATCGCGTTTTCTTGCAATTCTTTAATCATTCCAATACCCTCCATTCTAACAGATGTCACCTTAGCCGGATTCCGGGTTCAATTTCCGCTTCGTCTCGTTTAGATATAGATCAGCATGGTAAAACCCACAGTCGTGTATCACCAATGCGCGATGCACGTTAAAGACCTCAGGCTAACAGTCTTACTTCGTTGACTATCTTTCTCATCTGAAGCGTAGATAAATATTCTCACACTATGGCAGACCGACCTCACGCTGCCTAATCCTGTCACATCTAATTTGCTTCTCGCAAATTATAAGGATCATCATCATTATATAAATACTGGCAACACGAGAAAGTGCTGCAGCAAATAAAACATCACGCATATTTTCCTTCGTGTTTCTTCTTTTCTAGGCACGTCAAGAATACCTAGTACGGCGGCCGCTTCAGAGGTACCCGAAGTTCCTGGCAACACTGGGGCTCTTTTTTCGCGTCAGGCCGGAACACTTCGAGGACGAGCGGATGCACCTGCGCTGCACAGCCACGCTTTCGCACGTCGTCAACATCAGCACAGCCGAGAAGACCATCAGCAACGACCATCGTAGCTCCGGCTTCAGGGCCTCGGATGAAAGTGCGTTTCGACAAATTCCTAGCTAGAAAACTGTAGTATGTGGAAATCATATAGCCGATTCGTGTAGGGAACTACACACTCCTCAGGCGAGCCGCCCCCTCCTCCCCCTCCCTCCCCCCCCCCCCCCCCCCACCGAGCCACCACCTAGGATCATCAAAGGCCCGTGCACTATCCTTTCGACGTCATCACAGCGAGATCGAGCGAAGACATAGATTGAATACGAGTGCCACGTCAGCGCTCGGCTGGGTGTCGTGTCCAATCAATCCGTCCAGGGACAGTCAGCGTTCGAGCTCGGGCCCAACTGCTGAGTTGGCGCCATCCTAGGGCGATGACGTTCCATGGTGGTAGAGGGAGGTTGTTCGCAGGCTTTGATGATTCCAGGTATTGCTGCTCATTCCCCCAAGTGCATTCGGGCACCATTGGTCAGTTCGCACTGCTGATTTACTCTAGCATCTATAACTGGTTAATAGCAGTGAGATCCGTCGTGCAGACCTGCTTCTCAATCCTGAGCATGAAAATATAAAAATTTATAGTGTCCTATTAATGGATGGAACGAAGAGCCTTATTGGCAGACACCCCACGACCACGTTTGATGTAGTACCTAGGAGAAGCGTTCCGTCTCGTTTTGTAACACAATTCAGTGTTCAAGGCATTGCGAGGAAAAAGTGGCCACTTACAGACATAAAAAGATTGGATTCAACTGGGCCCTACTATAGGTCACCTTTAGCCGGCAAAAGCGTATAACACTCCTATAATTCAATATACGAAGACGTCACACGGAGAGACGTAAAAAAGATACGAAGGTACCGCGGCATGATGGAAAGAACTTGAGAATGAAAGTTCTTGAGGGGTCAGCGAACCTTTCGCTTGAAATCTTAGGTCACATCTTAAAAGTGCAGTTTCCCGGATACAAGTTATACAACTCGCTTAAAGTCTTCACCTTATTTTTTTTTTATACAGATGTTTTGTTTACAAAATAAGGATATCGGGCATTAAATGCGTCGGCAACGTCCCTGCCTTTCTACAAATTCTTTAACGCTGCTCATGTCATTACCTTGGGGGAAAGTTGCCAGCCGCGTACCTAACGACGTTCTTGAGCGAGCTTTAAAAAGAAAGCTCGTCGAAAAAGGACACTGTCTCTCTTCGCTCGGAGTAAACGCTATTTACGCTTGGAAGCTTTGATGCGTGTTGAGCACGCACTCCGTGGGGCTCCGCTCGCGTCCCTCGTACAAAGCCGGGCTTAGCGGAATGCCCTGCCTGTCCAATTCTGGGATTTCCGAGTTTAGAGCTTGGGCTCATGTCGACAGAGGATGGGATTGTGCGACGCTCCTTATGGGCGGAGAAGTAATTTAGACAAACGACTCCACTTAAATAGGCGGGGGAAGGAAGACATGCTGTACGCACTCATAAAATCTGCGGAAACTTTATACGCTCTCGATCGTTGCGTTTAAGTCTCATACAGTCGCGGCTATACACATCACCCGACGTTGATCCTCTGATGCGTTAATTATCTTTTTGGTATGTGCAGAATTGTGCTATTTCGATATTCAGCGAGTCTGTCCTGTGGGACTTATATGGCTGCGGCGTAGAGTCCTGCTCACGAACGCTTCTAATGAGATGGGACACTGTAACGTTTGGACAGATCAAATAGGCTAAAATGCTTTCTGGCAAAACCACAAAGCCGCTTAAAATACCTTTCACGATGTAATACTCTAAAAATATATTTTTAGTGAGAAGTAAATTTATACAAAACAGAAAACGTGACAATGCTTATGCGTTCTTAAATATCTTGGGGTGAGATGAATGATGAACACAATACTTGTTTTAATATTATAGTTATTACTAAAACTTTAGCCCTGTATACTGTCAAGGGACTCTGGTTCTAACTTTAAGCTTACTACTTTTCCTCTCTGTCTCCTAGGTTCCAACGAAGGAATATCGTTATGGACGTCCTTTTTCTCAAGCCTTCTCGTCTGCTTCGTTGTGCTCGAACTATGAAAACACGCCGGCAACTCCAAGAGTGAAAGAAGTCAGCAAAAATATTTATGTTAGCCTTTTTGTTCTGTTGTTAATACGAGTTCAACATAAAGCGTCCTTAATCTGCGCGCAAAATTACAAACGCTTATGAATTGCCAGTGAGGAGAGCGTGAAGTAGGGCGAAAGTTTCGTGGCGAGTACTAATGAAAGCCAAGAAGAGCGTGACCAGTGGAGCGGATTGTTGCCGCGGTTCTCTGGATTAACGGTGGAATTTTAGAATGCCGTGCAAGGCTTGAAGCACGCAAAAATACTAGAGCCGCCAAATTATCTAAGCATAGAAGCAACGTAATAGAGGTCACACGTTTCTGCAGGATTACTGTAGTCAACTGCGGTCAGCTTTCGCTGACTTACCTGACGGAGAGAGTACGAAGTGCTTTCAACCCGCCTACTACTTAATTTGTAATTGGCCGCGAAAAAACAAAATGGCCCCATCAGTCTCCTAACGAAAGATCTGAAACGCAGATTCGCTCCTCGGAATCACGTCTGGCGCCAACAGCACCGCTAAACGGAATGACAGCACTCAGTAAGAACCTTTACTCGACGCAGAAAGAGCGCATGTCTGCCGTGGTGGCGAAAGGATGTCGATATTAAAATCCTAGCTGTCAACTGACTTTACAACACGAAATGGGTGTGCCAGGTTTAAAGCTGACATAGCCTCGCTTGACTTCACCGTATCGTCTTCTATGTCAGCTTCGCTCGGGGGTAATATTTTTTTCAGACCAGTCGAATGAGCTTGAGCACAACGTGACACGCTCCCCTCCATGAAGCTCATTTGATCCGCGATAAAGCACGATATTGAAATCTTGGATTTATGCGTTTGGTACAAGATGCCTTTGGCGTGATGAGTCAGGCCAAATGTTGGTTGGTGGATCGGCATTGCGCCGGAGCATTCAGCAAATGAATGTTGAAATACCATCTCTGCGTCTCAGCTGGAATAGGTTGTCAAATGGTTAAAAACTGAGCCTTTACTTATAAAAGGCAGTGCCGATGCCATTACTTCATCAATGTAACGATGCCTGTCGTATCAGTAGTCTCGTATTGGCCAAAAGTACGGCATGGCTCAAAGAAGAAAGCGTATACCGCTGGCGCACCCAGAAATAGGGGCAAATGGAAAAAAAAAATACTTTTAAGTCTTTCATGTTCTAGAAAAAAAAGATCCGCGCTGACTATTAAAAAAAAGAAGAGACATTGAGTGCGCAAAATGTGCCTGTCCTCACACAAAGAGATTCGCATCGCCCCCTCTAAATTAATCTTGAAGCAAGGGTTTGACAATTGCTTGAGAAGGCTGGTAGTTCAGCAAGCAAAGTCTTACAACATTCCATGCAATGTAAATTCCGCCAAGTTGTGTCACGCTGGGAGGCACGTTAGTCCCCCCCCCCCCCCCCCCCCCGATAAAATAACACAAAACTATAGACCCCATTATCGTTCAACGCGAAGCAAGTAGAATCTCGGGGTCCACAAGTGCCCCTGTTCCACGTATTAGGCCGACATCCGATTGCTGGTCCTTCAGGCTTTGTCAGGATATCCGAGGAGTCTGGCAGACTGCGACATTAGTAGCTGGAATGATCGATCACTAGTTTCTAGCTTTTTTGTTTTTAGGCTAAAACATATTTAAACGGAACTAAACTGATATGGTATACACGTAAGTGTTTCACAAACTTATAGGCCTGGTTGGTCGGGAGCACAACACAATCTCAGAAACGACGGCACATAGATCCTGGCCTACAATGCACATGGTCTGACCTATCGAAGATCTTCTTTTATTTATAATTGGCATTGAGGACAATGGGCGCTACCGTGTTTTAATTGTCCTAGAATCTCACACGCCACTTGTGGCTTAGTTCATTGACAAGCTTGAGCTTATGTGTGCTTTAAGACTCAGGTGAAAGCTATCCGGACGTTACTGAATGCGTTGTCAGTTGATTCACATAGACATTTTTGCAGCAGCTGAATCGCCATTTTCTTCTGCTTGCAGAGCGTGCGAAAATAGTTGGAACGTTTTAATTAATTGGGAATGGACATAGATGGAGGAAGGACCCATACTGTAGTATATGTATGCGTCTTTGTTAAGGGTATCAGATGATTTGGTTTAGCAACTTTAGGTGCGGTACCGTGCAGCTAACACGAATGGCAACCAGGCTTGGTGTTTGACGTTAATATATAAAAAGTTAGTCTAACCGATAGTTGTTTATTTTGGCTTTGTCACATTTTGCATGACAGTTGCATGCAACAAGAGACATGGGCACGGTGCAAAGTGCCTGCCAGGCACGCGACGGTAATTCTCGAACAAACGTCACCTAAACAGTGCGCATATGTGCAAAAGCACAACGTGCAAGCGTCGAGGTGTTTCTGCTTCTTTCTGGCAACTACTGAAGTGACCGGAACCTTCTAAAGCGCCAGCGAGAAAAAGGCGGATGCAGCTGGTTGTTGCTCATTATATAGGTTCGTAAAAATAATTCATATGCTTCAGCCTACAGCGTGAGGGAGGAGCATGCGTGAGGAGTCCCCTACAAAGTTTGAAATTCTTGCTTGTGTACAGCGAAATCAGCCAATATATAGCTTTTCTTGTTACTGTTTTTTTTTTTTTCTTCTCTGTGAGGGTCGATTATATCGTTTCAATTGAATTGCTACCCTTTGTGACCAACTAACAGTACAAGAGACACGGGCTTTCGATGGGTTAGCCTACAGTGTATATAAACTGCTGTGGTTCCGATAGGTCACAATTGCATAAACGTTCAAAGACCCACAGCTGCATTCAGCGTTTTGCCTAACGATGTCCGACACTCGTCCAAGCTGAGGAGAAGTGAAAAAAAGGCGGCGTAACGTAGTGTGAACAGCCCTTCCTGATTGGCTGTGGGCCATTTGCCGTGTCTTGGCAGCCAATTAGAGAGGGCAAGAAGTTCCACGTCATTTCACACGTGATACACTGCCGTGCAGTGCTGTTCGTTCCTCTCTCTTCCCAGAAAGGGTGCCGCGTCGGGGCGTGTCGGTCTCGAGGGAAGTTAGGAAACGCCTTCTAAAACACATTTCACCGGTGCCGAATGTGTTAAGAGAAGCTGTGTTAGCCGTATAATGGTGCGACGAACGTGTCTCCGAGTGGTGTGTTTTCCACGTCCTAAATTTTCTGTCTTGATTTTCGCCCGTTGACGTCACAGCCTGAAAATGCTGCACATCGCCGCAATTGCTTGCACGGCAGCGGAACTGGAAATAGTTTTGCCCTATGCTCACTGTGCACCCGGCCAGTTGACATAAGAAATAATTACAGTAAGGTACCTCTGTTGTCTCGCCTCCAACCTTCCCAGCTTCGATAGCGGGGTTTCGGGAGCCCGGAGAGAGCACACACAGGGCCAAGGCAGGACGGAGGGCACTGAGCGCCTGCTGGAGGCCGGGCACCGGAAAAAAAACGGCCTGCCGTTTTTATCCCGTCACTAGGTAAGGTCGCGGACGCCACGACCACAGAGATGCCTGCGTCCACTCGTCTTCGCCGGCGCTTCTTTAGTCCCCTGTCAGTGTCGCCAGCCCGCACCACCATAAAGCCCTACGATTACCCGGCGTCTCCTCTGACGCATTCCGTGTGCATTCAGGAAACAGTCTGATGCGAGGGCCATTCAGGATGCAAAACACACCAGCAGGAGGCTCGTTCCAGGCACCATAGCCATACTAGTCATTGACGCGCGATGGACAACCAGGAGGCAGCGACAAATTGCGAAAACAAACGAGGAAATACTCGCCGGCGATGGGCCACCAGCAGCGGTTATCTTAGCAAACTGTCAACGTCTCTCCCCCTACGAGGGAAAGGATAAGACATCGTGCTATACTTCGTTTTACCTTAAGTCCGTACACAGCCGACGCTACGAGCTGGTGGGACCAATCATGCAATGTCAAAAACGCACCAACACGATGTTCGTCGTGCTTCTGTACGTGTTTATCATCACTGAGACTCTAATGTGCAGTGCAGGCCCAGTGACGTGCACTTTTGACACTACAGGATGTCCCCGAAAAACATTTACATTTTCTTTCACCGCAAAAAAAAAAAACAAAAAAAAAAACGCGTTGTCAAAATTTTATTTTTTACCCAAAATGTAGCGCTAGAGGTTCGAACCAGATTCCGATGTTTCAGTACTAGCCGGTATCTTATTCAAAAGATATAAGCGAGTTTCTGAAAATTTCAATGGGGAAGTAGCGGCCGACAAAGCCAAATGCATAGAGCTCTACGGCGCCAGAAACCGAAAATGGGTGAAAATGAACCTCATTTTTTCGTATATATATTTAGAAAATCACTTATCACTTTTGAATAAGATATTGGTTCGGGCTGAAACTTTGGTATCTGGTTCGAACCTCTAGTGATACATTTAGGTGGAGAATGAACGTTCGGCGATGCATATTTTATTTTTGCAATTAAAAAAAACACAGATTTTTTTTTATTTGGGGGGGGGGTTATTTGATTGGTCGCATCAGTTCGTAGCGTTGGCTGCGTACATACATAAGCTGCGACGAAGTATATTAGAATTATGCTGCATTATATGGCACGTCAGCAATCTTAGAGTCTGTTACTTTCAAAATTGCTAATCGCTGAGCGAAGGTTTCCAGGAAGTACTCCGGTGACGCTTCCTAAATTGTACAGTTCAAATTATCTACCCTTCCTGCTTTTTTTCTTCTTTAGTTGGACTTTGTTTAGCACCGGAACCTTGTGTTCTGGCAGATGTCTGGCGAATTCCGGAAGGTTATGACATCCACTGTTTCGCGCCCATGCCCAGAAATTCTTCAGGTTACCTACAACCTTAACAGGGGCCTGAACATAGTGGCGTAACGACAGATACCTGCTTGTAAATATATCTCATTAAAAATATTTAGAGTCCGCCCGGCACACATTGTAATATTGCCTTTTATGAAAGCAGCCTGTAAAAAGAAACCCTTCCCGCGGTTAACTCGAAGACGTGCTTATTTGGTTGAAATGCGCCAATCCCATTTTGTGGGATGTGATTTCGACCGCACCTGTGACGAAAGCGAGTTTATTCCTTTGTTGTGTACAGCGTATTTGTTCAGAGTTTTACAGGTGTTGGCGCCAAGTTCCTCCCCCGCCCCCTTTCCCCACCCCCCGCAAGAAGGGTGGCAGTGGTGTATGTGACCCTTCCAATAAACATTGCAGTGGCCGAAATGTAGAGGCATTCATTCATTCATTCATTCATTCATTCATTCATTCATTCACCATTTACTCATTTATTCTATACACTTCGTTTGGATATTTTTTTAGGCTGCGACGATTTTCAATGATATGATTTCAAGGGAAGAACATGCATCAACCACAGGTAAGCCACGGCTTCGTGCGAGGCACCTGCTGCCGGTGAAGACGCTTCGTTAAGCTGCATACCACCATAGGAGGAATGGTGTTGCTAGGTGGGACATCTCTCACGGAATGCAGCCTGCTATCTTAGGAAGATCAAAAGGGCATAAAATTGCGACGGAGCAAGACAAAGGAGTGCGCGGCGGAAGAGGAAGGAGGATGAATGCCGTCAGAGCGCTACGGAGGCGCCAATCGAGAAACGTCGCAAGAGCAACGTTGCGGCTTTCATCAGATTTCTTTGGGCGTGTCCTTCCAGGCGGTTAAGCCAATCAAATGCAAAATATTCACCTGGACAATTTGCTTTTTGGCAGTGCGTATGTGTCTACGTGTGACTGAAGTTGAACCCAGGTATAAGAATGCCGCTCGTTAATATCGGGGGATGAACATTGCGCGCGGGTAGGAACTAGGGAGGGGAAATGTAGAGGCAGCGGTAGGAAGTATTATATCGTAGCAAGCGGTTGGCGTTAAGTGTTTGGTTTTTTGTTCACATACAGCACGTTGACTAGCGGTTCGAACCCGCTCTGGATGGACCGCAAAAACCGGTTTCTTCACTTATCAAGCCGCTATTTACTACAGAAGTGCAGCTAGGTGGCGGAAGCGTCTAAATTCTGTTCAAAGCGTCAGTATACATGCTTTGCAACAACAATCATCCTCACGCACCACGTACTCCTGCCGTAAGCGTCACCACTTTTGCTCTCCAAAACGAGAAGAGTACAAAGAGTTCCCTGAAAAAGAAAACAATGTTTTTTGCCCAAGGTAAATAAACTATGCACTGCAGAAAGCTCAAACTCCTTGAGGTTGTGGCGCTAGCGGTTGGGATTGAGCGCGAAACCTTTGAAAACCCTGCCGTCCATCGCTCAACGGGATCGCTGGAAGGCAGTGCAGTATTCAGGCGTTAAAAACGTTCCTAATGGTGGGAAAGTCGTTGAGACTGGGGAGCGCTGTCGAGGTGTCAACCTTCCATCGTTCCGTTTCCATTCCTAGTGGCAGCGTCCAGAAATAAAAGTGGAGACTCACCCCGAGGTGCTTGCGAAGGTTCGAGC